ATCTCATGGGGAAAATGCAACAAAACTCGGAATTCATATATAAATTCAAAGTCATACAAACTACAACTAATAAATAAACTTATCTCTAATTTCTCCCCCAAGAAAACTCCTCGAAGTTCCTCTGAATCTCTTCCCTTCTTTACAGCACACAGAACTCCTCTTCGAAATAGCAAGGAGGAAGAAATCTCTCACTTTCCCTCCACTCTTACAACCTCTCAAAGAATTCCTTACAATTTTCACACTCTAATGGAACCTTTCTAACCTCCAAGAACTCTAGAGCTCTCTCCACCTCCTCTAGGCTCTCCTATTTTTGGCCAAAATCTTCCCTTTAATGATGTGGATGAGTTTTCCCAAAAGTTGCTTAAGCACCCCTCCAAAATTCGGCCTTATCCAATGCACAAGTACACATAACGGTCGATCTCGCCGTCGACGGCCTCGATGGCGCCGTTAGCGGGCTTCTGGAGAATTTTGTCCTAAAGCCTCGGGAAAAGCTCGCCGTCGGCGGCGTCAATGGCGTCGTCGGTGCCCTAGTTCAAATCTCCACATTTTGGTCCTTTTCGCTCAAAATTACTCTTTTTTGCATCTTTTTGCTCCATTAACCCTAATTTATCATTCCTGCAACAAAACATAAAAAATACATTTCTTTAAAGTATAATATCATAAAAAACAGTATAAAATAGGTATGAAAATCTCAACATATTTTTCTCTTGTCAACAAGAATGCGCAAATTATAGAGGAATTAAGTTGATTTGTCAAACTTCAAAATTATGGGAGAGGGTAATTGAACATAGGTTAAGTTATATTACAAAGATTTCTCATAATCAATTTGGATTTATGTCGGGCAGGTCTACTATGGAAGCTATACATTTATTGAGAGGATTGATGGAGAAGTTTAGAGATAATAAGGAGGATTCACATTTGATTTTTATTGATTTAGAAAAATCTCCAGTGACTATTTGATTTTTATTGATTTCTTATTGATACAATAAGGTTCCAAGAGATATCCTTTGGAGAGTTCTTGAGAAGAAAGGTGTTGATATGACTTATATTCAAGTCATTAAAGATATGTATACTAGGGTTGCTACTTGTGTTCAAACTGAAAGGGGATTGACCAAATATTTTCTATTTCTGTTGGATTACATCAGGGATCGGCTTTAAGCCCATATCTTTTTTGCTTTAGTTATGGATGGTCTTATTGGACATGGACGTCTTATTGGACATTTACAGGAGGATGTACTTAGTGTATGTTTTTTGCTGATGATATCCTTCTCGTGAATAAGACGATAGAAAAAGCCCAGGAAAAGCTTGAATCATAGAGGTCGACATTGGAGTATAAAGACCTTCGTTTGAGTTGAACTAAAACTGAATACATGGAATATAATTTTAGTAGTAGTAGCTCTAGTGATAGAAGTGTAACTTTGGGTGATCAAATTATTAAAAGGTGTGAAAGATTTCTATATCTCGGGTATGTTGTTCAAAGCGATAGTAATATAGATAAGGATGTTAAAAGTAGAATTCAAGTTGGTTGGTTGAAGTGGAGGAATGCTTCGGGCCTTTTGTGCGATAGAATTCTATCTCTTATGCTGAAAGGAAAATTTTATAAGATGGTGGTGAGACCTGCAATGCTCTATGGAGCTGAATGTTGGCCTTTAAAAGAGAAGCATGATACTAAGTTAAGTTTAGCGAGATGAGAATGATTAGGTGGATGAGTGGCTTTACACTTAAGAACAAAATGCAAAATGAATATATCCGTGATAGGGTTGGTGTAGCTCCAGTGACAGACAAAATTAGGGAGAGTAGACTTATATGGTTTGGTCACATTAAACATCGACCATCTGATGATCCGATTAGGAGTGCAGAAGCTTTAGATTTGACTTATGTTTTGATTAACTTATTAAAGAA